ATATAATACTGGGTATTTTCTAGAACGATTACAAAGACTGTTTAAAATTTAAAAATGAAATAATTTTTTATTCCAAGTTGGCGTTGTATACGCAAGATATATAAATTGTATTATATGCAAATGCTATATAAAATACATATATTTTTGGATGATTGATATTTACCGAGTAAAGTTATTATTATTCATATACGTCGCGTGTGTCATTATTGGACACCTTGAATACATCCAGTGCGTATTTATGCATGAATGCGTATACGCACGTGGACTTATACATTCGCAGAGGTGTCCATGAAACGCGCAGTTGAAGAGTCAGCATCGGTTATATGAGGGTGCATAATAACTTATTCCGGGCCTTATTATTGCGGACGACTGCGGTGGGCCCTGGGCCAGTAGCGGTCAAGTGCGCGTGGGTATCCAGAGTGTGGCAGAGTCATCCGTTATTATGTCGTCACTGGTTCTTCGCTTGCGAGGACCGGCGACGACGGAATAACGATAACGCGTTGACGAAACCTTTCTTCGCTAGTCGTAGCCTACGAACTTACAATTAGTCATTCTGTTTTTTTTTTTTTTTTTTTTTTATTAATATTATTTAGTTCTCGCCTCTTTTTTCAAAAGAGCATTCCACTAAGTTTACACAAATTTGAATAAAGAGACGAAATTCTATGATTATTGACTTTAGTCACAGCCTTATTTTAGCGATATTTTTTGTAAACTGTTTTAAAAAATTGCTCGTGATACATCGTTTTTCTTCTCTCCGAGACGGTGTAAAATCATAAACGAACGATATAGGTAAGTGCAGTTGAAGGAGAGAAGGCGTTGCAAAACTATTTATACGAATTCGTCACATAGGGAACATTTAGGAAGGTAACGCGTCACGACGCACGCCTCGAAACGGCTTTCACCCTGAGAAGAGTGACGATCCTCGGTTATTATTGGCGCCGAAAGGCGCCTACGCACGTGCGTAAAGTGCAAGCCGCACGCGATGTTTGGCAGCGGTAGCCGAGCCTAAATCGTTTTTCTTCGTAACGACCGTAAGCGTGCCTGCGAACGTGCGACCTGGCACGCATCCAAAACGGGTGAATTATGACGCAGTGGCGGAAATTTCATTTTCGCGGCGCATCGCTCGCGAGATATCCATAATTTCAAACGCGCTTGTCGCGTCTGCTAGAGAAACGCAGAAAATCTGGCCGAAATAATTTAAAATTCTGTCTTTATATCAAGATAATTTTGTGTAGAAAGAAATTAACTCGAGAAAAAGTAATTTGAAATAATTATGATATAACACGCAACACGCTTCTACATCTTTTTTTCTCCGTGACAGTGACTAGCTCACCTCACAAGTTTCACCAACGTTTTCAATTTCCGCTCATGGCTCGACACGCGCTTTCCTTTTCTCTCTCTCTTTGCACACGTGGGCACTCGTAGTCGACTCGTGCCCTCGTGTGCGTGCGTCTATATGATCAATTATGTACTACATATATGGTATACACCTCGATATTGGAAATTCATTCGCTCTTGCTGTCGACAATACTTTCTATTATTTTAGACGATCAAAAAAAATTCATTATTCTTGCAACGAAAATCGATAACCTGATATTAAAGAATTTTAAAAAAAAATATTGCTTATCTCTCGCGTACAATTAAACGCGTGTCAAAATTCAAATAAATTCGTGGATCGAATATATTCACATATTTAATGTTAGCTCGTGCTAATATGCCAGTCAGACGATGATTACAAAGTTGCAATCTAAAAAAAAAAAGATTATAAATATTGCACAATCAAGGTAGAGGTGTTCGGCGCAGCTGCCTCTCGCGCACAATTTATCCTTTGATCGCATTACGGTCCCAAAAGGTATAAACTCATTGAGGGCAACGTCGCGATCCAATCTACGGACGGCGGTTCGATTGCGATAGGCTCGTTTAGATATCGGCGCGGTCCTTAAAGGCCCGACGTGGCTACGTGACGATCGGGTGCGCTCGTGTAAATAAATGATTTCGTATTAACAATCGGCATTGTGTGTGAATATGGGGCCCGCCGCCCGTATATCAACCCGCGTTTGTTAGGCGGTCGCGCCTCCGATGCCCGACGTTGAAAAATGCACACTGCGCCCAATCGTCCGGCAATATTTCAATATTAGTTTAGCTATTGTGCACGAGGGACCAGTCCGCGAAGTGGGCGCCGGACGAGCAGCGACGTCTCTTTATTCGCTTGGAGATAATATTTGCGCGTGATTGGCTCGCGCGCTATTCCATTGCGATATTTTCATGACCAAGTCGAACGGTTCCGTCGATTGAGAACGCTACGCCAGTGAAAATATTTGCTACTCGATGAAACTCGCCATGATACATAGAAGATATTTATACAACGCAACGGAAAAAACGGGCGAAAACCCTGGCTTTTTTTTTATTCGCGCTCTGTTTTCTATGCTAGGCTCTTATTTACCCGTTGTGTTGTATACATTCTATTAGAATCTTAAATTTATTTTTTTAAATTTATTTGTTTGAAAATATTTATATTTTTAGAGCTTCGACAAAATAATATTTCGTGAACGTAGAAATATAAGGAATGTTTTTCTGAGCGATGTAACAATTTTTCCAAAAATTTAATGTAATTTTCAATTTCTACAAACATAATTATATATATTCTTTGTAATATAGTTGATATAGTTTTGGTGAAGAGGAAAAATCTTTTTTTATCATTTTATCATTCAACAGCATCTTCTCTGTACGTTGATCGAAACAAAAGAGCGAACGATCGACAGGTACGTTCGAGCATACGTAACATGCTGGACGAGTGATATCGCTTCGAGAAATCGATAATAAATCATGCGAGCAGTTAACTGGCATTCTTTGTGTCATTGGCCGCGTTCGTTCTTCCGTTCAAGGTTCCTCGCGCGAGTATTTCCTGCGCAGATGTGCCCACGCGATCTCCGACCGCGAATCAGAATTGAAAATGTGTTTTTCCTCTGTATATTGATTCAGCTGAATCGACACTTAACACGTCATCGCATCAGACAAAACTGATTGTTAACGGGTAATTTGTGGCTTCATTTACACGCGAATGAGATGAGCCGAGGAATAATTCTCGCTCTTTACGATAGTATTATCCTCGATTATATTGAGTTGCAAGTAGCGTCATATAACTCGAAGTATGTTTTTAGGGATCGTTTTTTGACATATATATGTAAATTAGACAATTTTTAAGTCAAGGTCCTTTATTTACGACGAAAATATAATATATCTCTCGTGAAATTAAATTATTTTATCATATAAAAATTTCTTTTTGCAGCAAATAAAATAAAAAATCCTTATCAAATCTTTATTCGAACTATATTAATTTTGACATGAGCTCTTAAATTCGCATTCTGCGGTACGAAAACATATATCGGTGCTTCCTTTTCTCTAACTAATAATATAATCTTATCCAGGGTGTCTACCCCATGAAAAACATGGAAATCCTGGAATTTTCAGGGAATTTTTCTGTACCTGGAGAAATCAGGAATTCTCATGGAATTTTATTGGAACTTAGGAAATTAAAAAAAAAAATCTCTCTTTAATCATTTTGCTCGTATACTGTAAGCAGTAAGCAATCCACCAAAATATATTATAAATATCTATCTATTTCTGTTTATATATATTCAATGTCCTAACAAAATATTGAATATGCATAATACATTTTTTTTATTTTAATTTTTAGTAATAAAAAATGAAAATGTTATACAAGTTAAAAATTTTTATCTTAACAAAAGCTATTTAATTTTTTTTTCAGTACATTTGTAAATCTAGCATTTGAAACTTATGAGTGAAAAATATTAGAAAACGCATACAATTAAAAGACTTATTTTAAAAAATTGCAACAAAAAATCTTTAAAATATTTTCTTTACCTGGAATTTTGAATAAAAATACTTGCAAGATCAGAGTATTTTTTTACAAGATTTGAGTAGACATCCTTATCAATTTGCCGTAATATTGAATTTCCATACTATTTGCGTCCGGCGGTTACTCGAGCGCAAAATATTCCCACCGATTCTCTGCGACCTGTAATGCTAATGCGCAAAGCTCTGCCAAATGCGGCCTTAATTGGCGCGTTTACCTTACGTTTCCATTTAAATGCTCGACGAGGTCGCGTCGTGCCACGCCGCGCCGCACGGACGTACGCGACGACCTTAAGCCGGGATATCCCACTCTCCTCGTCTCTTACCCGCTTCCCGCCTCCTCGCGACCGGACAAAGAGGGCGATGCAGGGGCGACGCGACGCGCGTCGGCCACGAGGAGCCACGAGCCGTCGCGTGGGATTAAGCGGGTTCTCGACTTCTCTCTCCCCCGCCAGACGAACGGCTCTCACGAGTCGTTCCTAAGAGGGACCAGCTCCTTTTTCCACCACCACTTCCACCTCCACGTTCGCCACCACCTTCGGCAGCACACGCTCCCTCTTCTTCCTCTCTCCCTCTCTCTTCGGCGGCTCTTTTCTCCGCGGGCCTTCGCGCGCTCTCACGAGAGGTTTGTCCCGACTGACGTCCGCTCGCATACTTGAGCGAGCGAGCGTTCTCACGCGCGCGGCGTACGAGAGTTTGGAATATATCAATGTTTAATCGTATATGATAAGCAAATCATTTTTTTTTTATTATCTGCATATTATTGATATTCGTTGCAGGATCAACGAGTTTACAATCGTCTAGAATAATGGCGCGAAAGTAGTGCGAGCTCTGTCACGAGAATCGACGGCAAAAAGAGCGGAGGAATTTTTAATATCGAGAGATATGCCATATATGTAACGCATAATTAATCATACCTTTACGTTTCGACGTCTGAACGGGAACGCGTCTTATTCGTGGACACCGACCGACCGGATTCGTTTTCATTTGTTCATCGCGAACGAATGGATTCTCCTTAAATCGCACGGTACACTTTTTACGTCCGGTCCGCGAACTCGTCCCGACCAAAATCACATTCAAATCGGAATTATTAATTCAACGCCGACTCGCTGACTTTGTTCCAGGCACTGCATCAAATCCACCGACTGAAGCATGTTTTGTCATCCTCACGGGTCACCATGTGGTCTTGTCAATTGAACGAACAGGAAAACGCATTGGGTATGTCTTACGCATTTCGTGCATGAAATGAAGAAAGGTCTATTTTCTTTTTACTGCCATTGATTTTTGTTGCATTTTATCTCAGCGATCGGCAAACTTATCTTAATTAAGACTGTAATGTAGTTTCAAAAGTTTACTACCTTTTCGTTTATTAATCAGCCTTGTATTTTGCCGTATCAAATGTTAATCTCTAAATTTCTTGACATATAATTCTTATGCGGTACCGCTGGAATCTGATATAATTAATTATTTTAATCGTACATCAAGTTATATTCGGAGTAACATTTAATCCCTCTCTCTCTTTCTCGTGATGTTCAATGATAGGTAGTCGGCACTTTTTCGAAATAATTTTTCGATGTACCTAGGATATTTTGTAAACGAATCACGTTATATTCGGAGTAACATTTAATCCCTCTCTCTCTTTCTCGTGATGTTCAATGATAGGTAGTCGGCAAACGAATCATCAGCAGCAGGATTCCGATATTGTCAGGTCTCTCGGAAATCGCTCGCTTGCGCAAGCGAGGCACCGACTACTGCAAGATTCCATTTACGCGTGTCGCATTGGCGCGACTTATGCATCTCGTATATATATATATATTTTTTTTTACCGCTGTTTGATAATGCGGCCGTGCTTGTCCAGTACGCCATTTGCGGGAAAGTCACGTGATTATCCGCCGGCAAATCTGAGCGGCAGCTGCGTACTCCAAGTTTGGTGCCACCTTCTCTTCCACCACTTTCGATCACTAACGGTCTCTCGTTTCTCTTCTTTCTTCATCGATCCAAATGTCTTGTTTTCTTTCGCCACTCTTGCGTATGGTTTCTGGTTACCGGTGACGTTCGTTTCATTTAAGGCACTTGATATCTTAATTGGATGGCAATTTATCTCCAAGCGAAATGTTACACTTCTTATAGGTTTCTAATCAATAGAAGTGACTTTCGATAGAGCTACTTTAATTTTAAAAAAATTAGTTAAAGATCAAGAATGAAACAGTAAAAGATTTTTGATTGATGAGATACATAATAATTTTGTTATATTAAAAATAGATTATAATTGTGCATAATTTTTTTAAAGACGTTTTATAAATTTTTCGATCGGATATATTAAAATTAAATAGCCGAAATAACAAAAATTATTAGAAACATATGTTGAGAACATTGATATTATTCATTAATGAGTCTCTTAATGAATGCGTTAGAGTTGCACTAAAACTTAATTTGAAAAATAATATTCTTAATAAAATGTAATTAAAATTCTGGTAACAATTTTAATTGTAAATATATTTTGCAATATTCTCCGTCAATGCGGAGGAACGGCGATGCGACCGTTTCATAATACGCGGGACCATCATGATCGCGTGAATCAGCTTCTGTCGAATACAATAGACATCGCCCGGCGGAATTCAATAAAAAAGAAACAAGTACACGGGTACCCGCAGCTCTCATTTCGTCCGAGACAGTCGACGACGCCCAGTCTGGGTCGAACTATTTCAGACAAGCTTCTCTCTCGACATTCATCGGTCGCGTAACTGTGTGTCGGTCTTTGTGTGAGCGTGGATAGACAGGTAGACAGAAAAGAAACGAGATAAACAAAATTCAAGAAGCAACTTGTAATTATTACTTCATAATCGAATTGGCATCACTCCTATCTCGTTTTCCTCTTCTATACGCATTTTTGCTAGATATAATAAAAAATATGAGCTTGAAATTATTTTTCTATATATATATATAGTACACACTCTGTAATTATATATTATTTTTTTTTGTGCAAATAATTCAGCAATCAGATCGCAGTCGGCGAGAAGCTCGGAAGCGCGTTTGATCGACGGGCTGCACGATCGCGAAACGTCGGAGGTGAGAGAGAGTGGGTCGTTCGAGAGCGAACGTGGGACGCGCGTACGTCGATGTTGCCTTTGTTGCGTGGGATCGTCTCCGTGTGTGTGCGTGGATCGGGTCGTTACCCAGACACACGGGGGCTTCGCGTGCGTTCTACTACCACCAGCGACGATGCCCGTCATCGTGACGCGGCTTATCGCGGCACGAGGTGTGGGAGTGTCTCCGTCTTTATCTCGATGTCCTCTCTTTCTGTCTCTCTTTCTCTCTTCCGCGACACGAGATACGAATGTACACCATCTTCATTCTCTTTTTCCCTTCGCCGTCTCGCGTCTCCCATTCGCGTATTTTTTTCTGTCTTCATCGTGACGCGTCTCTTATTTCGCCCGCGCTGCCAGCTTCTTTTCTTCGTTCGGGATTACACGGATGTGATGGAGGCTGCTCCCATCAATGTCGACATACCACCGCTCGTGCTTGTCGATAAATTTAGTTCATGGATAATAGTTTGGGCAGAGAACCTTCGCGAGAACCGCTGCATGATCAGATTTTAAATCGGGATGATCTTAGCAATGCATTTCTGAATATATCTTCATAAAGCAGAGAATTATTCTGGAATTGACTTTAGCAAATAACGCGGGCAATAAATCAAGTTGTACATCTAGGGCAAAGGCCCAACAATCTATTGGCAAAGTTTATCTTTTTCGTAATACACAGATTTATATATTTTTTTTTAATATAAAAAAAGTATGAAATTAAAAATAGAATAAAAAAATCAAATTTAATATAAAGGAAAATAATTATAAATATAATTATAATTTTAAAGTGAAAGTAGATTTTTCTCTGTAACAATTTAGTGCAAGAAATTGTCAGAAATATCAAATCAAGGAATGACGGAGAAAATCTAGTTATGATCTGTTCGATAAATTACCATCGGCCTGCGACTAAAATGGTCAGCTCGGACGAATTGTCGATCGTTAACACCTCCGTGCGAGCGAGTGTCCGCTCGCAAAGTTTGCTTTTACCGGACGCAAAAGCAGCTGAGAAAGGAGTATGGAAGAGAGAAATGAAAAAAAAAAAGGAGAGATCAGCACTCCGTGCATACCTACGTGCTATGCACACATATGTACGTATGCGGCGCGTCTCATAACGCGGCTACGTGTGGGCTCGTGAAGTGTGGGTTCGGCCGCCTTAAAGTGCGTGTCGTATTTGGCGATACGTCGCACAGAATCCTCGTGTGGGTTCGCGCCGGTGAACAGATACTTGTGTCACGCGAAGAGAATATCTGTGCGTTATCATATGATTTTGTAAATAAAATCCAAAAAATTATAGCACTTGGTATGTATTATAAAAATGTTCAATAGAGTCTCAGTCATTAAAATTTTCGGATTCCAGCATTGTACGCATATGATAATCCGCTTGACAGTCGTTTTCCCTTATTGCGCGAAATATACGTATTTATGACTACCGTTTCCTTTAGAAAACACAGTCGTACTTATCGAGGAGTTTTGTTTCGACGATTCGTCACTCGACGCGACTCCGTACACCTGTTCAAACGCGGTAGTCGGTGTAGGAGCGCCATAGGTCGCAATAGGAAAGCGTTGTTTGCACGAGCCCACATTCGTTCTGTTTGAGACGAGGCCGAAGTGCTGCCGCGTCACCCACACGCCACGCCGCCGCTTATTAAGGAACGAACGGTTATCGCGCGAGATATATACGACGAAGAAGGAAAGGACACGGAGTCTCCTTAAGCCTACGCCGAGCTCTAACAATGATCGCCTTACGAGTTGTCGTCTAATTAGGCGTCGTCGGGATTTCTATCGTGATACGAGGATCGCGAGAAATCGGAGCATCTCACAGCATGTAGAACAGATTTCGGAACAACCTGTAATATATATCGCGCGTCATGACACGTGAATCTTACGAACCGGTTGATAAGGAAGGATTACGAAGATGTATATTGCAGAGTTCATCCCGCGATCCATCATCCCTCAGATCGTGCTCGAGAAAGCAACGCATAACTTTTGCATAGATTAGATCGCGGCCGAGCGACGATCTATGCCCGCGATCCGAACTTGAGCCGCGTTCTGACGTCGCACAAAGAAGTGGCAGCTGCTTGCCGATCGAGTCAATACTCGATACAGTGGTCGATGTTGTTCTCTGACCAGTTTCGGAAGGGTGACGTCCCACCCCTTCGCTGATCGGACTCCCGAAGCTTGCCCGCGCATTCCTCTCGCTTTTTATCGGTCGTACCGCGGCCGTATCGCGTTCCACGTTCAAACGCCAATCCGAAGGATTCCGACGTTGGGCGCGAGGGCTCGATGCGGGGATCGGATAAAGGCTCTTGTGCGAGAGCGATCGAAGGGTCCTCCGAAAAAAGGGGGAGATATTAATAAGGTGACACTGTTCCGAGGAGCCTGCTGGCAGGAGGCGGACAGATGTCGCGGCTTCTTTTTTGAGGATTTCGGCGAAATCAAATGTACCTTTGTGACATGACTAAGACCGCATATTCATACGTTTATCGGGTGTTTATAAAGGGTACTTATTGCGGGATATAAAAGAAAAATTTTATTAAACTTTAATATTATATTATTTAACGTCAATGCAATAACTTCATATCTTTATCTAATAAATATCTCAATTTGATTGATCTTTTGTAAATAATTTAAATGACATTGTATTGATAAATAATGTTTACAAATTGCAATAATGTATTTATATATAAATAATACATTTTTAACAAATCTTTATAATTCTCTCATAATATATAATATTATTCAAATATTACTTGCAAAGTTACTATTAATATTTTATGTGTATCAAATTTTTTAGCGCTCAATCCGATTATTATCAGAAGTAATTTTTATAAGTCATTTGCGCGATAGTCTATGAAAATGACATATTTGTCAAGAGTGGGATACGTAAGTCGTTGATCTCTCTTTTCATAACGTTTCCAGAAGAAGAAGCATAATTTTTATGTTTTGTACACGTCTGCGATTTAATCTAGTCGTCTCATGATCGTGCCACGCGCGTGATAGCCCGAAACAGATGAGTTTTGAAGAAGAAACGGCCGAGGTATCCTCGACCGAGGATGTATTCCGAGAGGGTTTTCTCGTTATCTCCTGTTTGTACGTGGCATAGAACGAGAAGAGTCGCGAGAGGATCCGAGAACG